AGCCACCTATAATGGGGGGGGGGGGAGCAAGCGGAGAGATCTCCTAACCCATCCCCGGGGGAGCGAATATGCCTCATCCCGCATCTGCTAAGAGGCGTCGGGTTTCCAATCCACCCATTCCTTCGCGGGCTCCTGGAGTTCTACGGCCTCCAGTTGCACAACTTCACCCCTGCCTCCGTGCTGCATATCGCAGGATACCTCGCCCCTTGTGAATTATTCCTGGGCTGTGAGGCTCACTTTGGGTTATGGAAGAAGTTGTTCTGCCTCATCCCTCGCAACCAGGGGGAATCCATATGTCAAGTGGGTGGAGCCGAAATATGGCGCGTCGCCGAGACCAGATACCTGTCCAACACTCCCAAGAAGGCACCTGCAAACTGGCCCTCGGAGTGGTTCTATGTTGATGACGTTCCCCTTCCGGATCCAGTCCGGACGGGCCTCCCTGAGTTCAATAACGCTCCACCGAAGGCACGCCGAAGTCGGCGCCCTCAGGGCCCCAAGAGGAGGATACCAGAGAAGTACACTTCCTGATGAGCAGGATAAAAATACTGGCCAAATCAGGCCTGTCAATAGTCAAAGTTATAGCAATATGCATAATGCGGGGGGTGCAGCCACTTCAATATCGGGGGAAGCCCATGTGGCACTATAATGGGGAAGATGATGCCACCCGTTGTGGTCGTAAAGGTCCGGACTCCGCCATTGCTCTGGCGAGAATATTGTCCGATTTGTATAAAGGAGAAGAAGAAGAATTCCTTCATATTAAACTGCGGGATTGATTTTCCATGTACAACCCCCCAAGCTGGGTAAGTCGTCACTTTTTCCCCTGCTCTATTTACTCTGGCGCTCTTCATCTCAATCATTAACCTTGATGCTTTTGAGCAGGAACTGAGGAGGGCCGTGGAAGGATTCAACAGCCCCTCCCCGCAGCCAAAGGACCCCGGAAGGGCCTTCGATCCAATACTTGAAGAAGATCCGGATATATCTGTGGAGCTTGTCAACGGGATATTTTATTAGGCCAGCTGCGATGGCGCCTTGGTGGCCATTATCGCCGACTATCCCGGACTGCTACTTGCGTCGCGTGTAAGCAAAGCCGAAACCTTATCCCATGAAGAGGATTCCTTTCTTATACCATGCCTTACGCATAAAATATCGTATTTCTACAGAGACGACCATCAGAACGCGGCGCCGAGCCCCTGGGGACTCGTCGACAAAGGGCGCCCGGGTCAGGCAGGCTTAAGAGGAGGGCGGTTAGGGCCGAAATGCCGTTACAGAGGTACGGCAAAAACCTGCTCTGTAATTATTGTGTTTGAAATATAACAGTGTCCTTCGTGTTCTGGCAGAAAAAGGAGTCACCAGACTATATCCGGAGATCCTGTCGATCACGCCTCCACCAGCCGGATTCCAGAACCGGCTTCGAGAGAGGTGGCCACTGCGGGGCTGATGCCGAATTGTCCTCCGACAGAGGATGCGGATATGCTCTCCGCCACAAATTCCGAA